TCTTTTCGGTGCCTGTCTGACCCCTGCAGGCATTTGAAATGCTGGATGCTGCCTACATGGCTCTGATCCTGACCTCCAGCTCAATGGAGTTGGGGCCAACACTGAATGTGCCTCTCGTCATCCTGGGACAGGTGGCTCAGTTGAGACTCTGCGGCCTGGATCTGAGACCCGGTTGGACCGGACACCAGGGTAGAGACCTGCAGTCAGCTTTGGAGGGTTCGATGGCTGTGCAGGCAGAGGAGGCAGAGGATGCCAGAGGCAGAAGACGGTGCGGGAAATCTTGTACTGGCGTTGTTGGATCCGCATTTCAGGATGCACGCCTGAGCGGAATCCTGGGAATAGGTGTCAATCAAATTTAGAAGCTACTCTTTGAAGATCGTGTTGAAGAGGGTTTGAGAAGCTGCCCATCTTGAACCCTCAGTGTCACTTAAACACGGATTAGGATCCTGGTTCTTCCGCTTGTTCTCTGTGTGACCTCAGACAAGTTGTTTAAGCTCTCGGAGCTTCAGTCTCCTCCTCCAAACTGTGTAGATGTAACAGAGCTGCCGTGAAGATTAAGAATAGTGTATATTTGATGCTAAAACAGTGGCCAGGCACTTGGTTGGCAACTAGATGACTGTCTTTATTATTACTACTTAGCTAGTTCTCAGGCAGCGGCACAGCTATGGGGCATTCACTTCTCTATGTATTTTGTGGCGCCTGAAGGCAAATATGGTCTATGGGGAATTTAGCTCCATTACTCAAGGAACCCTGGTAAAGATGGGGAAGTGGAGGTTCTGAGAAGTCAGAGCCGAGCCGCTGTCGTGCTGGGGAATGTGTCGCTGTCTGGTGGAGACCTGGGTCTTGCTCTCAGCTCCGCCTCCAGGGCCGGGTGCGTTCGGCGAGTCCGTTCGCCTCTTTGGATTTTCGGTTCCTCATCTGCGGAAATTAGCTGGCTGGCTGTCAGTCACAGACACCAGCTACATGTGACTACGTAAAGTTAAGTTAATTAAAACCAAAGACAGTTGAAATTCAGCTCCTCAGTTGCACCAGCCCCGTTTCAAGGGCTGGATGGACTCGTACGGTCGATCATAGCAGACAGCACAGATCTAGGACAACACCATCGTCACAGAAAGTGCCATCGGACAGTGCTGGGTTCTAGAGCTTGTGCCCCAGTGCCTGCTCCTCCCATGAGCCATCGGCTCCACTTGGGAGCGTGTTAGGAATGTGACATCTCCGATGCCGCTCTAGACCTTTGGAATCAAAATGGACATTGTAACCAGATTCTCCTAGCTATTACATATCAAGATTGAGAAGCTCTGAGCTATTAGATTTCTTCCAGCTCTAAAAAATGAAATTTACGAGTCTGGGTATCTGCTTGACAAAGTCTTTGAGAAAGAAAACAACCAGCCTGTCCAAATCCTGATTCACTGATTTGCCTAAAAGGAAAGAATTGGGCCGTCTGAAGAAAGACCAGCAGAATGACCGCACCTCCCGCAGGAGCCAGAGGACAGAACTCAGCAGCCGGTGTCGAAAGGCGCTGGGTGGAACATCGGTGCTGGGAAGGTGGTGTGAGCCAGCTCTGGCCCTAAGCCTCCTGTCACCTTGGTGCACTTGATGTTTGCCTGAAGGTCTTCAGAGGAAGGAAGTTCTCGACGTTCTGTGACAGCAAAGAAACAAGAAGAAATGGACATTTCCTGGGCACCTTATTTCCAGGGTGTCTAACACTTTCCAGAAAGTAGCTCGAGCAGGTCTTTTATTCAAATAGGAAAAATGAGAAGCAGATTGGAGAAGAAATCAAGACCACCCTCAGCAGTGACAGGAAGTGCAGACCGGAACGCCAGCCTCTGGGCTCACGATCCAAAGCTCTCCTCTGTGGCTTGAGCTATAAAGTAGGAGAGAATACATTGTCCTCTCACTGTGGAAAGTTTTGGTGTCTTTTGGTGACATGCTGTTTTCAGCACAAAATCAAAGCGGGTAATATTAGATCTGATGCTTGTTAAGAAAGCATATGCCTCTTACAGGACAAAATTACAGTCATATATCTTATTTAATTGATATTAGATTTCATAGCTGAATGTTAAAATTTTAATGTGTTCACAAATCTGTCTCTTACTTTCAGAGAAATATCTGTATTAAGAACACACCGTACAAGAGAAGGGGAAAATGAATCCAAAATGTATATTATTAATTTTTCAGGAAGCAAGCAAAATGGTGCCTCATAAAGGATGTTAGAGAAAAAAAAAAAATGAAACAGCTGGGATTTCTGATTAGCTTTAGAAAAAAATCCGCTCACTTGAGACATATTCTTATAGGGTCAACTCTTTTGATGCAGGGGGAAGAAATGAGCAGATAGAAATGAGTCTGCGATATACAGGTCAGTTCTTGAAAGTGTGATATGTTTCCAGCAGATACACAGTGAGCTGAGCATCCTGTCACATGACCCAGAGTTGTGGAATCTGAGCACAATGCAGGGGACAGGGAGCTGGCCAGAAGTCAGAGATCAGGTCTGAATCCCACTGTGCTCCCTACTCTCTGTGTGATCACTGACACATTCCAGTGAGAACTCGGAGCCTCAGCGTCCACTGTGTGAAACGCAGAGTACCTACTTCCAGAGGCTACAGGGAAATGCTTTATGTAAAGTGTCCAGGACAGAAGAGGCAATTGATACTTATCAGTGCATCCCTTAGTCAGATAATGGTCTGGGGTCAAATCCAAAGCCACGACAAAGAAAGTGAATGCGGACATGACCTGCTCTGGTTCCAGGCGTCTGCCCCCTGCCCGCTTCCCCGCTGACTGCTCAAGCCCCGCTGCCCATACAGCAAAGCAGGCAATGCTGGGGAAGCTTCAGGAGCTCAGGGGCTCATCAGTGATTTCCGGGGGTCAGAGAAGCGTGGGAGTGGGGTCAGTACATGGGAACACTGCCAATCTTCACGCCCACCTCTGATTCTGAAAGGAAGCATGCTTGCAGGAAACAAGAACTGTGTTCTTTTGCCAGGCCCTGTTCTAATGACTGTTCCAATTCCCTTTCCTCCTGGTAGAGTAAGGGCCTTCTCTGTGGAGCATCTTGAATCTCAGATAAGGCCAGTCTAACATGGTAATGACCTTTCTTCAACACTTAATTTCTCCCCATGTGTCTTTTCTGTGCCGAGCATTTCCATTCAGAGTACGTGACAGGAACTGTGAACCCTCCACATTATTGCTGGAGGAATGTCCACAGGTTTATTTCTAACCTGCCTACTTCACCATTCCATTTCTGTCCTTCATTAACCTCATTCAGCCTGAACCCAGAAAGAGAATCATTTCCTCACCTCAGCTTGCTCAGTCCATGCCCTCTAGCTAATGCTGGACACCTTTCTAACACTGTGAGTGCTACCCATAAATCCAGCCCCATAATATTTGATGGCAGAAGAGATTTATTGAGAGTGTTTTAAAATTGATCAGTGTCTTCACTGAAATCCCATACATATGGTATAATGCTCATTAGATATTTTTATGTCAGTCAAGAGAGAACATCTCAAGTTTATTTTATGTTATTCTAAATGAACTCAAGTTCATCACAGAGACCTAAATCTGAGTGATTCACACACCTAAATCTGCGTGACTGACAGGGCGGTAGCAGTCCTATAACACCTTCATTTTAATTACGCTAGATTTGGGGGAAAAGAGAAGATAATTAACTCGGTGACAAAATATTCTTGTTTTCCTTGTAAGATTCTCAGGGGAGGACGACACTTGGAGGGGAGAGGGAGGAGAGGAACGACGCAGCGGTTACAGAACAGAGACACAGTGGCCTCCACCCAATGCCACGCTTAGCTTCGGATGCTCTTGATATGATTTCTGGTCTGTAAAATTAAAGCACAAGAAAATAGAGGACTATCAAAAATTGATCTTACATAATTCAGCTTATTGAAATTGCAGCCTGTCCGTCAGCTTAGGGTTTGTTTCAATTTTGAAGACACACGAGACAGTATTGCTGCTTTTATCAAGTAATAATCGCTGCCTAACAAAGCAGCACGGAGTTCAGTGGCATTAAAATAAATAAACACTTATTATTCCTCAAGTATCTGTGATCAGCTGGTGGGCTGGCTGGGGGCCGGCTGTCTAGGATGGTCTCGTTCACATGTCTGGCAGTTGGCTGTCTATTGGCTGAGTTGATGCATGTGTCCCTTGTCATCTAGCAGCCCAACCTGGATTTGACAGGCTGTATAATGTCCCTCACCCCCTGGGTGTCCATGTCCTAATGCCGAGAACCTGTGACTATGTTATCTATAGTAAAAGAGACTACTCTGTGTATGTGCTTACGGACCTTGAGATGGGAAATTTTCCTGGATTATCTGAGTGGGCCCAATATAATGACGGGGGTCCTTGTAAGAGAGAGGCAGGAGAATTAGAGTCACGGAGGGAAGATATAAGGATGGAAGGAGAAGTCAGAGAGAAAAGAAGATGCATCATTGCTCGTTTTGAGATGGAGGGGAGTCCATGAGCCTCTAGAAGCTGGAAAAGGCAAGGAAATGGGTTTTCCCCGAGAGCCTCCAGAAGGAATGCAGCCCTCTGGGCCACTCTGACCTCCAGAACCGTAAGAGAATAAAGACGTGTTTCCGTAAGCCAGCTAGTTCGTGGTAATTTGCTACAACAGCAAGAAGAGACTAATATACCTGAACTTGTTAAAAAGGTAGTAGCGAGTTTCCAAAAGAGAGGCTGGAGTGAGTCATAGGCGTAGGGTTGGCACAGTGTCACTTCTGCCGCATTCTGTTGGCCAAAGACATCCCAGATTCTAGGCCATCCCAAATTCAAAGGTGGGAGAAAGAGATCCCACCTCTTACTAGATTCTGTTTCTCTCACCTCTTGATGGGAGGAGCTGTAAATTCACACCGCAAGGGGTTGCGGAGACCGAGAAGGGTAAAGAGTTATGGCCTTTTTCTGCAATCAGTCTCTTCATGCCCTCTACAAAGTGAGGGGACATTTCCAAAGCCATGTCTGACCCTGGTCTCTTTTCCATGTCCAGGGACACAGGGAACATGGGTGTCTGGACGTCAGTCAGCGATATCTTCCTAAGTCTTTGGGAGACGTATGTGTCTCCAAGAAGTTCTGGATGGATGGACTTTATGCGGCATTTGGGAGCTTGCTGTTCTGTTGCTTCCGTTTCGGCGGGCCTCCTCTCTGCGGCCTTCTCCTGGCTTCTGTCCCCATTCACAGTCTTCGCCGCCTCTTGGGTGATCGTGTGCATCCTCCTGTGCTGTTCCAAGCACGTGCGCTGTTTCGTGCTTCTCTTCTTCCTCTCCTGCGGTCTGCGTGAAGGTTGCCCTGATTGCGGCCGGCACAGGGGTAGTGATCTTTGGACACATGGAGAATATTTTTCACAACTTTAAAGGTCTCCTGGACAGTATGACCTGCAACCTAAGGGCAAAGAGCTTTTCCATACATTTTCCGCTTTTGGAAAAGTATATTAAAGCACTTCAGTGGATTTACGGCCTCGCCACTCACCAAAGTCTACTTGATGACCTTGTTTCTTGGAAACAGACCCTGGAGGTCTCTCTTTTAAGTCCCAGCCAAGCCTTAAAGGCGCAGCTAAATGACACTAAAGGCAAAGTCCTGGGGGTCCTGTACCAGACGGTGACAGCGACCAAGGCGCTGTCCTCGCTGGGCCAGCAGCTGCTTGCTCTCACGGGGCTTTTGCTGGTGCTTCTCGGCACTGGTCTCTTCCTGAAGCGATATTTGGACCCTTGCGGTTGGAAATTTGAAAACGTCTACATCACCAGACAATTTGTTCAATTTGACGAACGGGAGAGGCATCGACAGAGGCCCTGCGTCCTCCCGCTGAATAAGAAGGAAAGGAAGAAGTATGTCGTCATCCCTTCTTTTTGGATGAGTCCTAAAGAAAGAAAGAACCTGGGCCTGTTTTTCCTCCCCATACTTACCCATCTCTACTTCTGGGTGCTGTTTGTTGCCATTGATTTTCTGCTGTATCGGCTCATTTTCTCAGTGAGCAAACATTTTCAAAGCTTGCCAGCGCTGGAGGTTCACTTGAAACTGCACAAGGAGGTAAGCACTCACAGGCTCTTGGTGTGGCATGCCCTGGCTGTCTGCTGGTCTCTCCTGTGAGGGGTCGTGGCCCTCCCAAGGCAGGACCGTGTCTGACCCACTATGGAGCTACAGTGCCTAGCACGTAGAAGGAGCCCAACAAATGGCGGTTGAATTGAAGTCCCGAAGTGACAGTGTACCATTCTGAAAATTTTTGGTCACTGCGTTAGTTTCCTTTGGCCACTGTAAGAAATTACTGTCACAAACTGGGTGGCATAAAACAACAGAAATTTATTCTTTTATAGTCCTGGGGGTAAGAGGTCTGAAGTCAGTATCGCCGGGCTGAAATCAAGGTGGTGCTGGCAGAGCCACACTCCCTGCGGGCTCCAGGGGAGTAGCTGCTCCTTGCTTCGTCACCTTCAGGTGGCTGTTGGCGTCCGTGGCTGTGGCCGTGTCACTCCATCTTTGTTTCTGTCTTCACATCGCCTTCTCCCAGCGTGTGTAAATCTCTCTCTGGCTCCCTCCTACAGGGTACATGTGATTGCGTTAGGACTCACCAGGATAATCCAGGATAATTCTCCATCTCTAGATCCTTAACTGAGGCACATCTGCAAAGTCCCTTTTTATCCAAGTAAAGCCACCTTCACGGGTTTGGGGGAGTAGAATCTTATATCTTTGAAGGGTCGTGTTTAAGCAGCCTTAGTTAACAGACCCTGAAATGTGGGAGTGGGGTCTCTGATGTGGAACACGAAGTGATTCTCAGGTAGGAGTACTGGGCATGAAGGTGTAGGACCTGACTCCCTCTCCCCCCAGCCTTGTGCGAGCAGACTTGAGTGCCTTCTCTGCGTGAGAACATTTTTCTTGGCATCTTTATTCCTTATCAAACACAAGAGGGCTCCCAATGCACCAGCGTCATTTTTAAGAGGATGGTCTTTGAAAAAAGGGTCCCTAAGTGACCAGATAGTATAGCTGGTGCTAGTGCCTGACAGCACCCGCGAAAAAATGGAACCGGCTACACTTTTGTCCAGTGGTTTCAACCCTCAGTGTGTGTTAAGAATTCCCGGGGTGGGTGCAGAACCTTAGGCTTCAATTCACAGAGACTCTGTTTTAAACAGGAGGGCAATTTTAACAAGCGCTTCATGTGATTTCAAAATAGGTGGATCACAGGCCACACGTTGAGAAACTCAGGATTCTCAGGTTCTGGAAAGCAAGACCTCCTAGGCCAGCAGCTCTCAGGGGGGCTGCAAACTGTCATCGCTGGGGAGCCGAACAAGCGAACGAGGGAACCAACTGGGTGCTTCACTTTGGTGCCCTGGATCTAACCAGACCAGGGATGGGGGTGGGTTTGCGGGGGGGAGGCCTGGGTGAGAGACTTGTAAAAACTCCCGAGTAATTCTAATGTGTGGCCCAGATGGAGAACCACTGCTCTAAACACGCCACCCAAAGAACGGTGCCATCGGACAGACCCATGAAGATCTTAATTAGCTAAGACAGTGTGTTGCCCTGAGCTTGCGCCTCCTGCGTCCTGGGGAATCTGTTTTTCTCTCCTCTCTTCTCGATCCTCTCAGCATCAGTGCCCCAGCGGAGAAGACCATGATGTTCACGCATCCCATCTTTTTCTCTTTTCCATTTTTCCCTGCAGAAATTTGTGATTATGTGGGCATTTCAGAGACTTCGGATACCGTCGGATACTTGTCTTATTTTTTAACCCAGAGATTGTGAAGCTGAGCTATAAGAACACACCGTACAAGAGAATGTGTGTGTGCATGTGTGTGTAGTGTGTGTGTGTGTGTGTGCGCGCGCGCGTGCACGTGTGTGAGATTGTGTGTGTGTGTGTGTGCGTGCGCGCACGTGTGTGAGACGCATGCTGGAGTGCACTAGCCCTAACATCTCTTTCCACAATTCTGATTTTCTCTTCTTTTTATTGAGCTACTATAGGTTGTATGGCTGCTGGGAAAATCTTAGAGGGAATCGACTGTCCGCAAACCCTCCTTTGAAGCCCACTCTCTCTTTTTCTCTTTGTCTCTAAGGCTTCATCCACACCTTCCCTTCTGTTTTCTTCTGGCTCAGTGGGTCTGTCCTGACTCCGGTCCCTCCTAATCCTGGGCTGCTTCTCAGAGTTGATTACGCTGAGCTCTCTTCTTCCCCTGAAGAATTCAGCTAATTACAAGAACACTGTTGCTCTAGATGTCTCAGCAGAGTGGGAAATGGAAGCCATGTTTCAAAGGGAAGTTAAAGCAGATTCTCAGACATGCTGGATCCTGGAGGGCGGCTTGTAGAAGGGCATCTGTCCTCCCCTCCTCAGTCATTTTCCTCCTGTTTCTCTTTTTTAATTTTCCCTTTTCAGTTGTCCCCTTTCTTTCTTTCTTTTTTTTTGTTTGTTCTCGCTCATTTATTTCTCTTGGTCAACACTCAAGCCTGTTTTGTGAATTCTCAGTTATAGACAGAAGGGGGAAAAGAGTAAGTTCTTTTCAAAAAAGGCCCAGAAACTTCAGTGACGACGTCTTGACAGATGCATTTTGGGGCGTTACTGAGTCCTGGGGGTGCAAAGAAGTCCTGACTCTGACGGCTGCCATCGAGGGTCTCACATCCTGGGTGTGGGGGGGGGGCAGGGAGGCTGCCATGTACACTCACAATGACAGCAGGGCAGTGGGTGCTGGAACACGTGTGAGTTCAAGACTGCTGTGGGAGCTTCTCTCAGATCCTCCTGCCCTTGCCCCAGGATGCACTTGGAGGCTCCTGGTTGCTCCACTGCTGAGATTTGCAAAGAAGTCGAGCAGGAAGAGAAACATCAACTTAAGGTTTTGTAAGCATTGCTCTCCCACTTCCATAGGATCTTAAATAAAAAAAGAAAGATAAGAAATGACCCAAACTGAGCTAGCTGGGTGGGCGGGCATTATGAGTAGGAAAAATAGCCACCGTTGCTACAAATCGAGCACTTATTATATGCACAGAATTTGTCCACATTAACTTGTCAGTACTGTCTGATACCAAAGCACCTCCCCTGTCCATTACTCAATGCTGTAACTTTGCAAATTGTTTACCTAAGAGAGATAAACACGTTTTAAAACATCAAGGTACTGTTTAGTGTATTGCTCTGGATTTTGAGAGACTTCATTTGTCTTCTGCATCACCCTCCAACGGCCCTGTACAAAAATGTTGGCTCAACCTTTACGAAGCCTTGACTCCCAACTGCAAAATCTCCAATTAGATTCCTAGACTAAATAACTTCTCCCCAGACCAGACCCCCGCTGCTTTCTTATTGCAGGATTTCTCATCACTGACTCAATCAACGGGTTTGTTTCTTCAATAGCATTAAGAAGAGTGCATGCCTTCGCTCTGGGGATCGAAATCTCCTGATTTAATTGTAGGCAAACTATCCTAATAAGAGAAAAGGAGAGGCAACACAAATGCCTTTCATTGCTTAGCCACAGTGCTGGGAAAATTAGATTTCACTTGGCATTCATATAGAGGTCCTTGGTTTGGGATTACCAGATTCTCCACAGGTATTTGGGTAGATCCAAGGTATGTGGTGTTTTCTGGGTGTGGTTGGTTCTTTCTGAGAAGTCATTTACCTCTTCCTGGCCCCAGGGCTCTGGGGCACTGGGGTGATAATAACTTATTAAGTACTCCAGTCTATAAGGTTAATGCTCCATCCCCAATGTGCTTAATTTACACTAGGAGTAGTTTATGCACAGGCAGGATCTGGTTCATTAATTCCTGTTCTACCAAATTAGAAAACAAATCCACTGAGAGATTAAATGACTTTCTCAGGTCAGGGAAAAGAAAGAGCTGAATCAGCACACACTTCTCTTGCTGGTGGCTTGGCTGTGTGGCTCAATGTCACCTTCTGCCTTCTGTGCCAGTTTGCTGAGGGCAACTGATCTGTTCTCTTGCCTTCGAGCAGGAAGAATGTACCCCTCCTGAGCATCCAAGAGATAAGAAAATGTCCTCTTTTGAGACCTCTAAAAAAATAAGATTTTCGAGCTATCTTCAGTTAATACTATTCTTAGTATTCTTACACTAAGAATAACTCCCCCTCCCCACAAGCTCTAGAAGGTTGACTTGGAACATAATTTAATGCCTCCACATCTTTGTGACTTTGTGGTCTGATGGGAAAAATATGACTGAGTCTTAAGGGGCTATGCTCCAAAAACACTTCACCCCCAGTTGAGCTAAAACCACTTTTAATTAGTCTCACATGCTCTAAAGTGTAGAAACAGGTGGTCCATAAATATGGGTAACGTAATCAAATTTGTTAGGAAAACCACCAGCTGAAGTTAAACAGATTTCTCTGCCTTCTTCGCAGAGCCTTCAACAGTCTCATGAGCATCGTGACTCTCCAAAGAAGGGACAAGCAGACAAGCTTATCCTATACCTTTCCCTCAGGGAAATCTATATTTCCACAAATACACTTTGGAAAACAGTGCAAGAACTACAGATAAGTCTCACCCCTTCCCCTTTACCTCATCACAGCACACAAAGTGAGTCTCGAGAGCTCCTTCAGCCAAGTTCCCTGCATATTTTAAGATCCGTGTGATGTGTTGCAGGGCAGTATAGAGAAAACTAAGGAGTGAGTACGAAATGTCATGGATCTTGATAATTTTATTCTTTCGTTTTAGGAGCAAGGAGCTCAAAACATCATCCATGATTCTTCCTTTAATATATCTCTGTTTGAACCTGACTGCATCCCTAAACCCAGATTTCTTCTGTCTAAGACCTGGATTCCCCTTAGTATTATTCTTGTGATACTAGTAATACTAGGACTGTTGTCTTCCTTCCTGATGCAACTTAAAATGCTGGTGTCAGCATCCTTCTATCCAAGCGTGCAGAGGAAGCGCATCCAATACCTACATGCGAAGCTACTGAAGAAAAGATCGCAGCAGTCGGTGGGAGAAGTAAAACGGGAACCGAGTCTGTACTTTACAAAGGTAAGGCCAAGATGGGGGTATAACCTGTAATTAAGGAGATTTTGAGTCTGAAGGGCAAATGGAATTTCAAAGCATTCTTTAACTTCTTATTATTAGTGTTATATCTTCTGCAATAGATGGGACGCGGGGGCGAGGGAAATTGGCAGATGTGCATGGCCACAGTTCTTAGCTTTGTGATTTTGAATGCTGGTCTAGAGGATTCTACATGATGTCCTTGAAAACATTAATTTCAAGTGAGTACGTTTAGTCATATTGTAGAGATGCTACTGGGAAGGCCCTCTGTAATGACTATTAAACGAAGAGATTAAGAAGTACAAATTGACAGTTATAAAATAGTCACAGGGACGTAAAGTACAGCATAGAGAATATAGTCAATAAAGTTGTAATAACTACGTGTGCTGTTAGATGGGTACTAGATTTATCAGGGGGACTACTTCATAAGTTATATAAATGTCTAACCACTATGGTGTACTCCTGAAACCAATATAAAATAATACTGAATGTCAGCTGTAATCGAAAAATTTAAAAAGTAATACCAAACAAAGGACAATGCCCAATAAGGAGTACTTTACCAGGTCAAGGATAAATAAATAAAACAGAGGGAAATATCTACTACAGCAAACTCCAAAGAATTAAAGTATACATACTACACACACACACACACACACACACACACACACTTGATATATGTGTATATTTATGGATATATGCGGTAACATAATGACTTTCATACACATATAAAATGAACGCTTGTCAAAGATTTTATTTAACTTAAAGAATAAGAAACTCCAGTCAACTCAAAGAGCAATTCAAAGTCCACCCACATACAGGCCATCAGGAATATAAAAATGAATTTCCTTAATAAATGCAAAACTGGCTTCTTTCACAAGGGTAGATGGGAGGATCAATTGTATCCTACAGGGTAAAATTTACTTGCAAGTCCATGGACACGAATCATTTCCATCATTGCTATCAGCTATCTACAACGTACGCGATTGGAAAATAGCTGATTGACAATGAAAGACTAAGATAATCCCACAAGGATAAACTTTTCTGGCCATTTCAAAGTCTTGGGCAATTTTTCCTGACACTAGTAGCTTCGGGAGAAAAAGTTTATGTCAGAGGCGTCTGAAATGAATCCGATGCTCCTTTATCTACCTTTTTGTTCCTTCAGATTCATTTCTGGCTTCCAGTCCTGAAAACGATTAGGAAGAAACAAATGGACACTACAAATGAAGGCCAACCATGAGAGACCCCAAGTAGCTCCTCGGCCATGTCGCACCAGCAATTTTCTTCGGCACTTTTGTTGACGGTCACTCACATGCCCAGCGACAGAGAACTGTATTGCATGGTCCTTCCAGGGTTTGGCCCTTCCAGGGCCAAACTACTTTTCTTCATAAGGCTAAAGGGCTACTAGGTAAATGGTGATGCCATCTGTCTTCCAAACAAGGCACATGATTTAGACTATGTCACAGTATCACAGGACTATACCTAAGCCCTTTGAGGATAAGTCTCAGCATGGAGTAATATTCAAATAAAAAAATAATTAGAAAAATCAAAATCTTTACTGCAGGCTCACAAACAAATACCAAGGAGAACATAAAAATATAATGCCAGTAAAACATCATTAAACCCCTCCATCTCTTCTCTGCCCTCCCTGGTACCTCTCACAGCTATTCCCTGTGCCCACAGCTGTCTCTCTTTCTCCTGGTCCCTTATTTAAGAACTGTTTCCAAAAACCCATCTCTAGCAGTTTCTAATTTCTTCTTACCAGCACTCTGCTCTTACTCCCTACTTTCCTGAATCTCTTTTGTTTTTCCTTTTCTACCAAATGCTCTAACCATATTTATTTAGGAAAAACATTTATCAAAACCATTAGAAATGTTTGTTAAAATGCCCATCTTGGGCTTCTTTTTCACTATACTCAATATATACTATATCTCCCCTATATTCTAAAATTAGGAAGGAGAAAAAAAACCCTTGTATATTGATTCTATTATCTCTGAAGTCCCAGAATGGGGAAGAAATAAAGAAACATTATTATTTTTTAACTTTCATTCTGCAACCTTTTCAGACTTATAAAAAGGTTGCAAAATAGTGGAGTTCCATCTACTCCTTGCCCATCATCCCCAAATGTTAACATCGTACGTAACCATAGCACAGAATTATAGGTCCTTCAGGTCTTTTAAAACCAGGCAAAGAACATTGAAAAATGTATGTACAAAGTTTATTGAATTTTTACCAATTGTTCCAATAAAATTCCTTTTCTGGTCCCTGATCCAATCTAGGTTCGCACATTACATTCAGTTGTCATGATTCCTTGGTCTGGTCCAATCAGGGAAAATTCTTCAGTCTTTCTTTTTCTTTCACGATCTTGACATTGATTTTTCCTTATTATTTATTTATTTATTTTTAATTTATTATGGTGACATTGGTTTACAAAATCCAGTAAATTTTAAGTGTACAATTCAACAGTAAGTCATATATATATTGCACTGTACGTTCACTGCCCATAGTTAGATTTCTTTCTGTCACCATGTATTTGACCCCTTTTACCTCATCTACCTCCCCCCACCCTACTCCACCCACCCTGCTCTGGTAACCACTAGTCCATGACCATGTCCATTAGTCTCTGTTTGTTTGTCATGTTTATTTGTTACTTTTAGGTTTATATCCCCCATATAAGTAAGTGATATCATGTGGTTTTCAACTTTCTCTGTCTGGCTTATTTTGCTTAGTGTGATTATTTCCAGGTCTATCTATGTTGTCACAAATGGCAGTATTTCATCTCTTCTTATGGCTGATTAATATTCCATTGTATATATGTACTGCAGATTCTTTAGCCAATCATCTATCATAGGACACTTTGGTTGCTTCCATGTCCTGGCCACTGTGAATAATGCTGCTATGAACATCGGTGTGCAAATATCTTTTCGGATATGAGTTTTCAAGTATTTGGGGTAAATACCCAGTAGAGGGATTGCTGGATCTTTTGGTAGATCAATTCTTAATTTTTTGAGGAACCTTCATACTGTTTTCCATAGTGGCTGGACCAATTTGCAGTCCCACCAGCAGTGCTTGAGGGTTCCTTTTTCTCTACATCCTCTCCAACATTTGTTATTACTTGTCATGTTGATTATAGCTATTCTAACAGGTGTGAGATAGTATCTCATTGTGGTTTTGATTTGCATTTTCTTAATAGCGAGCGATGTTGAGCATCCTTTCATATGTTTGTTGGCCATTTGTATGTCTTCTTGGGAGAAGTGTCCGTTCAGGTCCTCTGCACATTTTTAAATTAGATTGGATGCCAAACCATGGCAACCAAACAATGATTTTCTATTTTCATATCTTCTACATTCCTTAATTGGAATTCTATACTATCCCCAGAAGGAAACAGTTTTTCAAAGACTAAACTTTGTTTTAAGCACCAGAGCAGGCATTTTATATATACTATCTCATTTATGTTTCAAGACAACCCTGTGAGCAAGGTATTATTATTATTTCCATTTATAGATCAAAAATCTCACCTGAAATCCTAGTTTAGGTGGCCTGAGGTGGGGCCTGGGCACTGGCGTGTTTGAAGCTCCTGGGTGATTCTGATGGGCAGCCAGGATTGAAAACCACCACTCCAGGAATTTAACAGAACTGCAAGTCTTTCGGGTCAGGTCTTCAATGGTGAAATTTCTCTAACAGAAAGAGCCTCCATTAGAAATGCATTTGACTCAGCATTTCCCAAAGTGAGTTCCTCAGACCATTTGTTCCATAAAACGAGTTATCTGATGTTAGTAAATCTATACCATCTGCTTTCCAGCCTCGAAGATTCATAAAGCATGTTGACGTAATTCAAACCTTTTGAGAAACCCTATAACAAAGAAACTTCTTTTATCTTTGTTTCACCCAGAATTTCCCCAAATTGACTAAATCATGGAACAATTTTACCTGTAATATCTGTTATCATCATATAGGACATGTCCTACAGCCTGTATTCTGGTAAATGCTGATATAATTGGCATGACTTTCAACCAAAAAAGGATCAGAGAAGGTGAATATGCAGTTTTGGTTTATTTAAATATTCTGACAATTTGATTTTTTATTGTGTTTTCTAAATAAACAAATGTATTATTAATAAACAGATACAATGTGTGAATTTTCGTAATCATTTTGCATTTATTTCTCCTAAGGGATCTGTCTCATATTAAATAAGGCAAAGAATCAACTGCTCAATTTTTGGAGGAAATAGGATGCTTTTGCCTTTCTAAATTCTACAAATTAACTAACTTGCCTATCTATCTAACAACATCATTAGTATCTACAGCAAACGTTTGAACGGGGCACATAAGAAGTGTCTGTGATGCCCAGACAACTCACTGTGGTCTCTGCCTTTGGCATGCTTCCGGTCAGGTGAGGAAGACAGACAGATGTGTGGACAATAAGTAACAATAGGTGGTAGCTTTTAAGAAACTGTGTCCCGGTTCTCTGCCTTTGCCTGCCACAAATGCCCGGTTTGCCCTCCTCTCTAGGAGAAGGGCACTAGAAGTGTCAGCAAAGTGGTTGTAACTTTTTTGAAATTAAAACTACTTTCTAAAGCAGCATAATCCCTTCTACTTCCAATGGACCGTGACTTTGGACATTTCACGAGACTTCTGGAGAGTGTCTTGCTGTCTTTATCTGTTAGGTAGGCTTGTTCCTATTGGGAGGACAGCCTGGCAAGGAGGTGCTGTCATGAAAGGCAATTTTGATCTTGAAAACAAGATTTAGATTTGCTCATTAGAGCCAGTCTAATTTGGAATGTTAAATGCTTATTTAATTGTAGCTTATCTACTTAGGTTTAAATGAACTATTAGTTAAATTTCTTGAGACATCTATGGTGAAATGTACTGTTAATATTTTAGAGGCAGAGAAATACTGCCCAAGGCAATGTAACTAGAGCTTCCTTTTTCACTTCTAATTTTAATGGCTTATAAAAGTATATTGCATTATAGTCAAAGCCACTATTTCTCATCTCATGAATCACAACTTGGTGGCCGTATTTTGTGAGGGTCTTTCAAGCATCATTCCAATGTCCTCATTGACTCCATATTGGTTGTTAGTTGTGTTTCTCTCTGACAGAAAGATATGGTAATTCCAAACATCATCGTTGTAATAGATCTCTTTCATTGTTCTACTTGGAATGTTAAACATTATCTTTCTTCTTTTTAGGTTTTATATCTGCTGCTTTCCCTGTTAGAACCTTTTCAATTCTACTTAGAATATGGGATATGTTAAAGTCTTCACACATCATGTATATTTGTCTATATCATCTGAGAGAAAAAATAAACAAATCTCATCTTAAGGGAGTAAGAACTAGCTTTCTCACCCAAAGTAAGTAATAGTGAGAAAGACCATTGAGGTCAATTATTCAATTTATACTATGGAAGAGAGAGGAACTGGTTTTAATAAATGAATGTGGGTTCCATGTGGTTATATATATATATATATATCTTTAAAAGCCTGTTATATTATACTGACAAAACCACCACACGGTGGGGAGGAAAGATTTACATTAATGGATGGCAGAGACCACCTAACTTTCAGGGTTCAAAGTCCCTTTTGGTTTTAATCACTAATGGTTGCAGTGACATTTTTAAAATCAGGAAAGGAAAGGGAAATAAATAACAGAGTACAGGAGATGATAGCCTTTTACCATCTAAATTTTTGGTGTTTCTACACCTCACCTTTGTAGTCAGAAAGCAGAAGAAATCACAGTGGATTTGTCATTTGAAGTCGATGTGCAAATGCAAATGGGAAGCGAAAAAGGCAATGATAGACATAAAAGCATAACTAGCCACAATAACTACAATTAAGGCAGAAAGTGTTGACACTACTTTACTGAATGCAGAGAAGAAACACTGGAGTGTGTGAGGTGCCCCCGCCCTCAAACTCATTCAGCAAAGACAAGGAACAACATGCCCACCAGCCACAGCATGGGACCGAGGAAGAGGACAGGCTAGGCGGACACACAGGAGGACCAGGCAAGACTGAGACAAAGATGCAGGTGTCCGTCCGCTCATCACTCAGAGCAGTGGTTTCCAAAGCTGGCTGATCATCGGAGTCACCTTCAAAGGTTAAAAAGAAAAGAAAGTTACAGATTCTCAACTCTTAAACCCAGATGTACTGACTAGAGAGCTGAGGAGGGTTCTGGGAATCTGTATTTTAAGGG